GGCGTTGGGAGGTGGACAACTGATTGAGGGGGTGGATGTGACACACACATGCCATCGCAGCAACAAGGGGGGAGGCGGGGGGGGGGATGGTGGCTGATTATTGCTCAATGCAGTGGTGGCGTGCTTCGACACACACACACACACACACAAACGATAATGCTCACGGCAGTCTGAATGTTTTCGGCTCATGGATGAGCAAAAGTGCGCTCGTTTCACTCAGTCACGACGGACACGCACACACACCAGGACCGGAATGCTACAGCATGCACCAAACATGGCAAAGAGGTCAACGGAAAAACTCCAACACAGCCTTTGCTTCCCACTAGTACACACAGCCTTGTCACACTGTCAAGGGAACACTCACACCGCAAGAGCACCACGGCAGCAGACTGTCTGTGAGTCTGCCTGGTGCGTCCTACTCTACAACGAAAATGATCTCTCTGTCTGTCTCGTGCTGCTCATCCCACACGTTGCCCCCCAGGTGGTCCCCCAGCACTCTCATTACAACGGTGCGCGTGTGGTCGTGGGGGGCCGACTCGGTCGTGAAGATCTCCACAGAGCGGTCACTCGTACGGCCCGAATCTCTCACCAGCCGAATGACTGCCATGTGCCCCTCGCCCATCGCCTCACTGCCCAGCACCACCAGCCGGCAATGCCATCCCCTCCAACCCTCCATCATTTCGTTGAATACGGCCGCCCCCGCCCCCCACTGCGCCGCATCGCTGGGAGAGGCCGCCTGCAGCTCACCCACACGCCGGTACTCAGCATAAGCACGACGGAAAGACGAGCAAGATTTGATGCGACGGATGTGGCCGCTATTGGTCAGCCAGCGGAACAGCTCGAAGGCCACCATGGATGTGTAGTTGGAGTACAGGTAGCTGGCCAGCTGCGTGGGCGGGTCGGTGGGGTCGAATGCATCGAATGCGGCACGACGGAAGAGGGGGCTGGCAGAGGCGAGGAGAGTGGGGGGCTGATAGGTATACCAGTGATGGCCATACCAGTGGAGGAGAATATTATCGCCGTCCATCAAGAGTCTCTGTTGGCCTCCCTGATTGACAGTGACCCCCCAGCTGAGTATCTTCCACTGGCGGACCGCCTCCCTCTCACTCATGAAGGCCGCCCGGCTGCCGAAGACGCCGAAGTTGTCATCCCCCAGCACCAGTGGCCTCTTGCCTCTCAGCAGATACAGCATCTCCAGCACAGGTTTCCATCTGGCCCACTTGCCGCCCCTCTCCATCATCCACAGCCGCCGGCTGAGCTGTTCGATGAGGTATGCCACGCAGCAGCCGTGGCTGAGTGCCTCAGGGAGCGGCAGCTGGGGGATGACCCACACGACGAGAGAATCGAGGCCGATAGTGGGCAGCAGGACGACCAACAGGCGCATCAGCAAAGGCAGCAGAATTGGGGCGAGGGAGTTGCGGAGGGTCTTATCGATGCGGCTGAGAGCGATCATCCCGGCGTACTCACTGCCGCTGAGGCACTGGGCGATAGCCGGTGTCACTGTGGCAGCGACGGCCGAGAAGGGCACACTCTCTCGCTGACCGCCACCTTTGACCGCTACACTCACACAGAGAGAAAGAGAGAGAGAGCTGTGTGCCGGCAGGACTGTGTCATTTTGCACTGAATGGGGTTGCTTACCATTGACAGCAGCCGGCGCAGCAGATGAAGATGGCTCGTCAGCTATAGAGTCACCGGCTCCTTCAGAAGCAGCAGCAGACATAGTCACATCTGCACACCTGCAAACAGTCACAGCACGGACATCATATGAGTGAATGCGGTGAGTGTCGCCTCATCAATCTGTGAGCCTCTGAGTGGCTTTCTTCCGCTTGCCGTACCTCAGTTGGCTACTCGGCTGCCTTTGACTGTCGCTCTGTTGCTGGACGCCACTGAAAGTGCCGGAAATCTGCAACAAACACACAGAGGTCGCGGAGACTGTCATTGCTGATGCCAGTAGGCCCTCTTGCTTGTCCTCTCTCACCTCAATGCGTCAGATCAGCGTCACTCAGACAGATGGGCGGCGGCATCCGTGTGGATCGATGACATCACGACAGCTCTTTGGGCATCTCCCACACACTCTACACGGCCACGCTGTCGCCAAGATGCACCGAAAGCGGAAAGCCAAGCTCGCAGACGGATCAGGGAAGATTCTGAGGCCTTTGCACCTCACCCACTGGAGGGTAAGATGGCAGCCAGAGAGGAAGCGGAGCCATTGAAATGCCAAATGCATGTGCCTTTCCGTGTGTGTGCCTGCCAGACCTCACGTAAACCACGCCGAGACCTCAGACGTCACGATGCGGCCCACTGGTGCAGCGCCCTCGTCCCAGCCCCTCTTCCAGCCCGCCGAGCTCTTTGACCTGTCATTGCCCATCAGCAAGATGGCCGCCATGGCCATGTCGGCTGACAATGCCACGCGAGCCGCTCTCCGCTCACAGATCGTCACCCCCACTCGGCAGCAGGAGCTGAAGGGCCACACCTCGGCGACCGTCACGAGCACGCTGCTCAACGGCGTCCAGCGACACATCAACAAGGCCATCAGGCGTCTCGGCTTGGAGGACGTCTTGGCCTTCGACATTGGTGGTAACGTGGAGGGCGGCTTGAGGGGTCGTCTGGCTGCTGAAGCAGGGCAGCGGTGAGGAGTGGCGGGCGATGGGGCGGTTCCTTTGCCTGGCCTTCATCTATCGGCTGACTCCCGCCAACACGACGCGGCCCCTTCGGCTGTCGGCCGACTCGCTGCCCACAGCAACGGCCTTCCACCAGCTGCCCCTCACAATGGCCATCTACAAAACATTCAGCCACCTACTCAAACTGGGCGGACAGAGCCTGGCGCTGCAGCAAGCCAACAATGGGGCCTACCGGATTGGCAATGAGTCATTTCGTGTGGTGCCATATGGTGATCTGCCGGGCGGCCATCACTATGCTGACGGCTACAAGCGGACCGACCCCGCCATCCGCTGGGTCACTGACTGGCCCTTCCCCTCATTCTCGGCATTCCTGCTGCACAATCTGCTCGGGCGGTGGTGCGGTGAGGTGGATAGGAGGAGGGTGCTCGATGCAGTCGTCGGCCCTTATGACTATGGCCGTCTGCTGACCGAGGGCATCACAGAGGATCAGGGCATCGCTGTCGACTGGCGCTGGGACAGGAGCGATCTGAATGCTGCGAATCCGCGTGACTTTCGTCATGTGATAGTGAGCGGCTTCCGACAGAACAAGACCGTCGCTGCCAGTGTGTGGGTGGGCTTCGACCGCATCAGTCTGAACACGACCAAGCCATCTGCTGCCGGTGCGCCGGCTCCACTCGCTGTGCGCTTTCCCGTGTCGGAACCCCTGTGGCGCCGTGTGCTGCGGCCATTCGGTCTCGAGCGTGCCGTCATTGACAGGGGGACGGTGCTGGTGTGAGGGGTGAGTGGTGTTGGCCGGGTGGTGTTGGTGGATTGGATAGGTGGAGAGGGTCAGTCTGTGTGAGCGGTGGTGGAATGGGACTGAGTGCTTTTGAATGGACGACGTGACTGATTGCATTGTGTGTGTCCTGGATGGATGGATGCCGTACTCATCTTTGACGTGTCAGTGTGTGGCCTAGTTAAAGGGTCCAGGGTGTTTTTAAGCGGAGGTGACGTGAGTGATTCCATTGCGTGCCATTCGGGTGGGCGAATGGGCGTATGTCCTACTCGCCTCAACTTATTTCTCCGCAACTGACCGAAGGCTTATAGTGAAGTTCATCTTATGCACAATTGTCAGCTCAAGCACAGCACACATGGAACACACTCAACGTCTCAACTACCACATGGCTGAATAATGCTTATCTAGCAGGCGACTTGCTCGGCCGCCGTGATGCGCTGGTCCCCCTTCTCTCCCCCGCCCCTTTCCTCACACTCCCAGCACTCGACCCACACCGGCCCTCTCCCCTGCTCGCCGTCGAACCCCTTCTCTCCTTCTCGGCAGCCTGCAGAGGCACGGACAGGCAGAGGGATGTATGTGTGTTCATTCAGACAGAGAGACAGAGGGTGTGCAAGTACCTGGGATGGTCTCAGCTGCATCGCCGCTGCTGCTGCTGTTGGCGGGGGTGGTGGTGGCGGCCGTGGCCGTGCTGATGCGGGTGGGGGTGAAGGTGATGGAGGCCTTCTGCCCCCTCCCCCTTGATCTCTCGGCACAGCACTCGCCGCTGACCCCCTTCTTGACGCGCGTGACCCTCTCCGCCCACCACCAGCTGCTGCCGCTGGTTGTGATGGGGAAAGAGACGGCGATCCTGGCCTCCTGCCCTTTTCCACACTTGCTGTCGATCCCCTTCTCTCCACTGAGCCTCGTCTCTCCACGGACGCGCGTCTCTTCCCTGCGCCTGGTTTCGGTGCTGCGTGAGCGGTGGTCTGCTGCAGTTGGGGCAGAGGGGTGGAGAGGATGGCGTCGTATTGATCGAGCTGGCCGGGAGCATTCATTCGCTTGACGGCTTCTTTGACCGCTGAGGTGGCTGGGGGTTTCTTGGCTTGCAGGGCCGCCTGCACATATTTGTGTAGACACACAAGCGATGCCTCTTGCTGTTTCGTTGTGGAGTAAGGGAGGAGGGGTCGCTCACCATTGCTCTGCAGAATTGTGCAAGGCACTCTGGCTCAGAGAGGGAGGGGGTATTCTTGACCATCTACACAGAGACACACGTAATGCGCACACACACGTCTAGGTGTGTCTCTTTGGCAGGTCCACATACGTCAATGATCCCATCCACAGTGTGTTTGGGATGGTCTTCCTGACTCCCTCGTCCACACAGCAGTTGGCCACCGTGCGTAAGCCCTGCACACACACAAACAGAGCTATGCATGTGTGGACAAGTGCAGGAGCATGTGGGCATGCACACGTACGATGGTGGCGAAGGCCGTGTCCTTTTGCTGCGCCATCAAAGCGTCCAGGAGAGTGTTGACAGCGTCCAAACTGTCACAAACAGACAGATGTGCATGTGTGTGTGTGTTGGGGTGAGGGTGCCTGTCTGTCTGTCTGTCTGTCTGACTGACTGACCGAACAATGTCGCTTGCCGCCTTCGGCCCGCCCTGGATGCTCAGCGCCTCAAGCGCCTCGGCTGCTTTGACGCACACCTACACACACCAAACACACACTCCCCCATGTCTCTCTTCTGTGTGTGTGCGTCTGTGTGTGTGTGGTCACGGGCTCACCTGCTGCCCACCATTGGCCGCCTTGAGTGTATTGACGGGGATCTCCGCCGCCCCCGCAGCGGCCATCGCCACACAGGCGTACCGACACACCACAACTGCACACACACGGACATTCGTCTTCTTTGTGAAAACGTATTGGCTGCAGTGTGCCCACCGTTCAGGCTCTCCACCGCCTGTATGTCTCTGTGCGATTTGCCGGTTCCAGTTGAAAGAAGGCTCAGTGATGCCGCGACGAATGGCCGGATGGTGGGCTCGGTCAGGTGCTGGGTGTGCGGGTGCTTGGTGGCTGCGAGGGCCGATACTGCTGGGATATAGACGTCCTTGACACCTCTGCGCGGCATGCAATTCACACACACAATTGTGTGCCCTCTCTCTCTTGTCTGTGTGAGTGTATGTCTATCTCTCTTCAATACTTGAATCGTTTGATGGCGTTGAACAGGAATTCTGTCGCTTTTCTGCTGTCGGTGGCGCCGGCCGCCTTGACGGCCTTACACACGTTCATGGCGATCGACTGGCTCTCGCCGTGGGCTTCAGCAGCGGCGAACAACACACCCCTACAAACACAACACATAGAGACAAGCACACACATGTACTTATGCTTATGCCCATCACATGTGAGAATGGGTGTGGGTGTACATGTGCTGGGAGAGGGCTCTTGAGTGTTCTGGGGAGAGGTGGGCAATCGACACAAGCGCCTGAACGGAGGTGGGCATACACACGCAATGGACAAACCATTACGAAAACTGACCTTCTCTTTTTCAAAAAGTGTGTTGAGTTGTCGATTTTGTTCACCTGGCAAGCGGCTCCCTGGAGCTTTCTCTGGGCGGGGTACCGCTGCATGAGTGCGGCCACTTTGCCCGCATCGCCCGGAGACACGGGGAGGGCTTTGTCGCCCAGCCATTGACGCAACTTGCCCTGACGGAAGACACACACACAGGAAGAGAGAGAGATATTGAATGAATCAATGAATGAATGAATGAATGAGCGAACGAACGAATAAATGAATGAACGATTGGAATATACGTGTGAGTGCCTCTGTGCGAAAGGGGTGCTTACCTTGCCGTGGGCAGATTTCTGCTCCAGCAGCGTGTCCAGGAGGATCAACGCCTGGGTGATCACTCTCGCCTCCAGCGACCACCTGTCGAGGCACTCGAGGGAGCACTTGATCTGCTCCTCGCGGCGATCGGAGCTGCTCGCTGCCGATGTCAAGAGCTGCACACATACACAAGGGTGGATGAATGGATGGGTGTCGAGTGCGTGCGTGCCTGCGTGCCTTTAGGCGGTTTTCTGTGACTTCGACAGACTGCGACGAGGCTATGCGCTTCAATAAGAGGCTAGTGGTGCTGCCGTCGAGCTGATAGGGACAAACACAGAGAGACAGTAGACAAGGAGGGAGTCTGTCTGTCTGTCTGTGTCACTCACTTTGAGTGTCGATTTCTCAGCTGCAGAGGACAGCAGCGTCAGCTGAGTGATCACTGCGCACACAGACAGACATATACATCTTTCACACGCAGAGACACACACACAAACCTTCTCCAAGCATTTGGTCGTCAGCTGCAGATGTCGCGAGCATCGGCACCACCGCCCTCTCCACCTGTTCACGGACGGGCTCGGTCTCATGGGCCATGTACACCCTCATTAACGCGCTGAGGCCGCTGCGCTGCACCTCCATCTGCACACGGACAGACACACACGCACATCTCTTCATCTCCTTCTCTCCGTGTGTGCAGGTGCCTGTTTGGGATAGCAGGGGAGAGCCTCAGCCAATGCGCTGACGTACTGCGGGCATTTAGCCTGAGGAAGTGACTCGCCGGCTGGTCCGCTGAGGGCCTCTGTGAAGTTGTAGACGGTCTGCGCTGCTGCCGGGTCGCCAAGACGCCTCTCGCGGACTGCGGATGCCTGCAACAAACGGAGACACATTCTCCCTGTATCCCTGTCTCTGTGTGCGCACCAGCTCTGCAAAAGCGTCGTCAATCGAGCCCCTGGTGATCTCATCAGGAGGTGAGATCAGCACCTCAGACTCCTCACACACTCTCACACCCACTCCTGGCCCTCCTCTCCTCTCAGCTGCTGTAGCTGCAGCCGATGGTCTCTCTCTCATGCCTGCTGGCTGCCTTCGATAAGCACCATCGTCCAGAGCGTTCCTCTCCATCTGTCTGTCCACCAGCCTTCGCGCCTCAGCAAGCCTCTCCCTCTCCCTCTTTCCTCTCTTATGCGCCCCCCTCTTCTCTCTCAAACCACTCATTCCACTTTCGGCGATCTCATGGAAGTCCGGCTCACCCAGGTGTTTCCAGTCGTCTCGCCTACGCTTCATCCATCCCTCTGACGGCTGCAGGGGCGCGGGGAAGGTCGTGTGTGGGGGGGGGAAGACATTGGGGAAAGGAGAGGCGTTGACGTGTGGGGAGGCTTCTGGCCACCACCATATTCGTGTGTGGGCTGCCACGAGTCGTTTCTGTATCCCGCGGATGTGACGGCTTCTGCAGGTGACTTCGGGCGGGGACGATACTTGGCTGGGGGGGAGGGTGTGCGGACATCAGTGACTCTTGCCTCGGTTGCCGTGCGGGGCATCCGCAGCTTGTGAGCGGCGGTCATCTCTTCTAGTGATTGGCTGAGAGCACCTGGCTGCCGTCTACGTGTACAAACATACACAAACACACACACACACACAGAGAGAGAGAGAGAGGGTAAGAGAGACATCGTGTCTGGCGAGCGGGGTGATGATTCCGACTTTTGGTCTGAGTAGAGCTGCTCGTATAGTCGTTGTCTGGTGTCCCACTCCATGCGCTGCCTCTCATCTTCTGCCAGCTTGTGCGACGTCCGCAGCTGACATGAGCCATCCAGATGCATCTGGATGTGTGCTTGGAGGTCTTACTTACTTCATGCAGTTGTCTCTTCTGCTCTAGGATGAGGTCTCTCTGCTCCTTGACGAGATCGTTGAGCCGCGGGTCGGCCGCCGCCCACTCATTCTCATCGAACTCCTGACGGTACAACTGCTCCTGCGCACGCAGAGAGAGAGACCCATCCCACACACGTTTCTGCGTTCTCGCATCATTGAGTGCATCTCTCTCTCTCTCCCTCCCTCTCTCTCTCTCTGTGCGTGCGTAAGTGCGTGCGTGTGTGTGTGTGTGTGTGTGTGTGCCACGGACATGCCTGCATGCGCCGTGCCAGCTCATGGTTAGCTTCCCCCAGCCGCCTTGCATGGCTCGCCAGCGAGTTGAAGGACAGGTCCATCCCCGCCTTCATCTGCAGCAACACGGGGTTGGGCGGCTGGGGCTTCCCTTTCAACACGCGATTCGGGCTCTCCGCCTTCTCAGTGCCGCCCGTTGCTGCTGCTCGAGGGATTGGTGGAGAGAGAGAAGGTTCTTGCGCGACGGGGGTCCGCATGGACATCAGTGGTGGCGCAGGGGGTCTCGGCGCCTTGTTCATGAGCTGGTGGAACATGTGTATCGTGTTGCGTCGCTCGAGGACCTTGCTGTAGATCCGTTGCAGCTCGAACAGCCGCTGCGTGAACTGCTTGACGGGGTTGGGCGGCAATCCTGGTTCTGCTGCTGCTGACGCCGGTGATGGGGCATCATCGTCTTGTCCTGATGGCGTTGCCATTGCGTCGATTTTGCCGTGAGATCGGCCCAGGGGGCCTCGCTGAGGAGACGCCCCCACGATGGCTGCCAGTGCATCGCAAAGCGATTAACACTGAACACAAAATTGTGTGAACACAACAATTCTTGCACGACTGCCGCCGTCAGAGCAATGTCATGGAATGGTCAGAGAGAGCGACACATATGTCAGGGCCTCACAACCAAGGCCTCCCTCCCAAGACCGACAGAGGACACAAACACATCAATGTCAAGAAAGCCAAAAAACGGCGGCCACTGACCACATCGCATCCATCTCAGCAGACAAGCAAACCAAGAGCACAGCACGCAACGAAAGACACCAGCCAAGCATCCATGGCGTCAACTTCTCAGCTGCTGACACATGCAGGCACTGTGCTACAGATCGACACAAAAACCACAGAGCCAACACTCCGCCCACCACCTACCAATGGACCACTCATTTACCGAGCGAACGCAGATCGTGATCAACCCCGCCCACCCACCCATCCATCCATCCACCGACCAACCCGACACACACAGATTGACCAACACGTCATGCACACGGATAGCCCCACAAGTAAGGCCTTCTTCCACGCAGCAATGACGACACCAATGAAACGGATGAGATCCAGAGAGAGGACAAAAAGACGTATCGACAACAAAGGCACAGCCAATAGGGACCGCGTCCATCTCAACAAACAAACAAACAGCAGACAGGGGAAGACACCAACCAAACATTCATTAATTCATGGTTGCGACTCCTCCCCGGTGCTGACACATGCACTCTGCTAGCTGTCGACACAACAACCAACCAAGCCTACACTCGCACACCGACCTACGCAACACCGACCTACGCTGTCCAGAGTGTCCGCGAAAGACGCACGTCAATGCATGTGTCCTACTCTAAGGAAACTACACCCACTACGAGCGTCTGCCCATTTTTCTGCCTGCCTGCGCTCATCCACCAGCAATCCATCCATCCATCCCTTCACCGACACACACACAGAGAGAGAGAGAGAGAGATTGACCGACACGTCATACACACGGATGGCCTCACAAGCAAGGCCTTCCCACATAGAACAATGAGGACAGGTGCCGATAAAACCGATATATCTGACAACAGAGGAAAAAGACGTATCGACAACAAAGCCACAGCCAATCGAGGGCAGTCACTGACCGCGTCCATCTCAACAAACAAACAGCAGACAGGAGGAAACACCAGCCAAACTCACACACATGGTTGCTGTGTTGCCTTCTCGGCTGACCGGTGACATGAGGGCATTCATGTGTGGGCGAATCCACACAGATGCGATGCCGCACACACTCTGCTATCTATCGATCGACAGACACAGAAACCGAGCCCAGGAGCGCATCACGGACGCAGAACCACAAAAAGAGGCACGGAAGACGCTTATTGATCCCGTCTGTCTCACTTCCCGTGGCACCGACAGAAAAAGAATGACGACAAGTTACCAGAGATGGATAGGAAGGGCTGTGTGCTCAGGCGCCCTTTCCAACGGCCCACTCGACGGCAGCATTTTCATTGCTTCTCAATCTCCTGGCCCTCTTTGTGCTCGCGAACGGCCGCCAATTCGTGATAGCCATAAAACACACGACGCCCGCCCCGTCGCTCCGGTCCTTTGGCACCATTGACGCATAGAAGTCATCGCCCTCAGCCAGCCGCTGCATGAAGTTCAGCTGCAGCCAGCCCGATGTGATTGAGGCCCTCGGCCGAATGACCGTCCCAGAGCCATCCACTGGCTCGCCCTGGTGCTCCATTGTCAACAGAAGGTCGAAGGCCAGGGGGTTGCCGAAAGTTAGCAGCATGGCGTTGCTGTTTGGGAGAGGGCCCCGGCTCTTCATCATAGAGACGTTCAAGCTCTGGAAGTCGAAGGTGAAGTCGTAGTCATTGCTGACTGTCTGGCGGAAGACCTCTTGTGCCGTTCGCCGCTTTGAAGATGAAGGTCAGCTCATTGCTCGCGCCGAAAAGCATCTGTCTGGAGAGCAGGTCGTCGTGTTGTATGGCAGCGGATAAGGCAATGTCGTTGTTCTCATCGACGGTCGTCAGGGCGACGCTGCCAGGACCGAAATTCTGCATATTTGGATAGTTCAGATCCATCCATTCCATCCATGAGTCGTGCCATCAGTTTGTTGTGAAAGGCGGACCTGCACAGACAGGGAGGTCCTGCCCTGCTCCACAACGCCGGTGACGTACAGATACGGCAGCGAGTCTGGCGACCCTGGCACAACGGGCTGCATCGATGGACAGCACACATGAGCATCGCATCAATCAGCATGCATATCAGACACGTGGTCTCACACTGGATGCCGGCGATATCCGGGCAACTCTCCCAAATGAAGACTGGGCCAGCACAGCAGACGGCAGCAGCATTAGGACAGCAGCCAGGAGACTCAACACAACGCACACAGATGACACCATCCTTCCTGACAGCAGCCACAGCACGCGTCTCCTCTTCGCTGGCTACCACGAGACGAGAGCCGAATTGGGAGTCCTTTGGGAAAGAGGGAGCAGTTTCACGGAACGTCATAAGCCTGCGCGAAACGGATGTGTAGCAAGCTCCCGTATCTCCCCGGTTTTGTCTGCCGTCCTGAGAAGACGTGTGCTGTCAGAGAGAGAAATGACGCAAAGCGATTAACACTGATTGTGCACACAACATTTCTTGCACGACTGCCGCCGTTAAGGCAATGTCATGGAACGGTCATACAGAGCGACACATATGTCAGGGCCTCACAACCAAGGCCTCCCTCCCAAGACCGACATAGGACACAAACACATCAATGTCAAGAAGAAAGCTAAAAAACGGCGGCCACTGACCGCATCGCATCCATCTCAGCAGACAAGCAAACCAAGAGCACAGCACGCAACGAAAGACACCAGCCAAACATTCACGGCATTGTTGCTCCGTCCCTTCTCGGCTGCTGACACTTGCACTGTCTACAGATAGACACAAAAAACACAGAGCCTACACTCGCCCACCGACCTACGCAACACGACGAGAACGGGCGCTTGAGACGCCGATTGCGCCTCGCTTCCCGTGCGAGCCTCAGTGCAGAGCAATAAGTGAAACAAGGGGAAAGAGATAGAGAGAGAGGAAGAGGTGTGTCTGCTTAGGCGCCCATTTCAAAACCTCCCTGGCTAGCTGCATTTCCCTCGCTTCTCAATGTCCTTCTCGGTGCATTTGCGAATGGGCGCCAGTTCTTGACGGCCGCAAAGACCACGACGCCCGTCCCATCGCTCTCGTCCTTTGGCACCATAGACACATAGAAATCATCCCCCTCACTCAGTCGCTGCAGGTAGGTCTGCTGCAGCCAGCCTGATGTGGAAGAGGCAGTCGGCTGAATCACCGTCCCAGAGCCATCCACTGGGTCGCCCTGGTGCTCCATGGTCGCCAGAAGGTCGAAGGGCATTGGGTTGCCGAAAGTGATCACCATGAAGTCGTTCATCGTGAGCTTGAGGCTAAGGAGGCTTGCGCCCTGGTTCGGGGCGATGGGAGTGTACTTCAGATCGTTCTTGACTGTCTGCCGGAACACCTCTGTGCCATTCGCCGCTTCAAAGATGAAGGTCGGCTCACTGCTCACGCCGAAAGGCGTCGTTCTGATGAAAGAGTCATCTTGTTCTATGGCCGTGTATGAGATGACGTCGTTGCTCTCATCGACGGTCGTCAGGGTGACGCTGCCAGGACCGAAATTCTGAATGGCACACCCCAGATCACACCCATGCATGATCCATACGTGTGGTGCGCCATCTGTCTGTTGTACTTACCTGCACAGACAGCGAAACGCTCTTGCTTTCCCCGTTCATAACACCGAGCACAATGAGATACGGCGGCGAGTCTGCCGTCCCTGCCGAAACAGGCTGCATCAACGTGCACATCAGACAAAGATGAGCAAGATGAAGGACACATAATGATGATCCTTCCTCCATGGTCCTTACCAAGAGGAGGGCGCCCGATATCCAGGAATGGGCAGGGACAGCAGCCAGGAGGCTCAACACAATGCACAGTGACACCATCTTTCCTGACATGACTGCAGACTCAGTCACAGGCGACGTCGTTTCTCTGACTTGTTGAGAACACGCGTCTTCTCTTTTGGCTCGGCGGGCACGCTGGCTTCAACTGACGTCGGCGACACGGGCGGAGAGAGAGCCCGGAGAGGAGACCCTCTTCTCCTCCCGCGAGCTGCGGTGGGAAGAGAGAGAGACGAAGAGAACGCATCATGGCTGCATGTGTGGCCCTCCTGTGAGCCTCCCTGCAGCTGATCTGTCCATTTTGTGTGTCTTCCCGGCCTCCCTTTCGCACTCTAAGCTCGCATTCATTGCCTGGCGATCCAGGAGGGTGCCGGCTTTTTCCCATTGCAGGTGGGTGGGTGCTGGGTGCTGCTGTCGGTGTGAGTCAGTGATTGTGCCCCGACGGTGCGTGGGGCTTGCAAATTTCGTGTGTTGGCGTGTGCGCGGCAGACACTCATCCACACACACACATGCATAATGAGGGGAGGGAAGTGTGTTGTGTGTGTGAGAGAGATGAAAACATGGGTGGTACGCATCGCATGGATCAGTCAGCCACAGTCATTTAACGAGTGAATGCCTCAGTGTCATCGTTCGTGCGTTCGTCTATCGCTCACCCACCCACCCACCTACCCATTCAGGGACGCACACACAGACACACACACACACACATACATATTGACCGACACGTCATGCACACGGATGGCCACAGAAGTAAGGCCTTTCTCTACACACCAACTGAGGACAGGTGCCGATAAAACGAATAAAACTGACAACGGGAGTAAAAAGACATATCAACCACAAAGCCACAGCCATCGCGTCCATCTCATTAAACAAACAAACAGCAGACAAGAGAGAACGCCAACCAAACACACACTTATCGAACGGCTGACTTGGGACATGGGTGCAGTCATCCGGACACAGACACAGATGCGATGGATGTCGCACACACACTGCAATCTATCAATCGACAGACACACAAACCGAGCCCAGCAGCGCATCACGGACTGACGCAACAAGACAAAGAGAGGCACAAACCACGCTGATCTCGTCTCACTTCCCGTGGCACAGACAGAAAAAGAATGACGACAAGCAAAAAGACACACAGGAAGGGCTGTGTGCTCAGGCGCCCATTCCAACGGCCCACTCGACGGCCGCCTTTCCCTCCCTTCTCAATCTCCTGGCCCTCTGTGCGCTTGCAAAGGGCCGCCAATTCGTGATAGCCATAAAGCTCACAACGCCCGTTCCGTCGCTCTCGTCCTTTGGCACCATTGACACATAGAAGTCATCCCCCTCACTCAGCCGCTGCAGGTAGGTCTGCTGCAGCCAGCCCGATGTGAGGGAGGCGCTCGGCTGAATCACCGTCCCAGAGCCATCCACTGGGTCGCCCTGGTGCTCCATGGTCGCCACAAGGTCGAAGGGCAGGGGGTTGCCGAAAGTCACCAGCATGGCGTTGCTGTTTGGGAGAGGGCCTCGGCTCTTCATCATGGAGACGTTCAACCTCTGGAAGTCGATGGTGAAGTCGTAGTCATTGCTGACTGTCTGGCGGAAGACCTCTGTGCCATTCGCCGCCTCAAAGATGAATGTCAGCTCATTGCTCGCGCCGAAAAGCATCTCTCTGGAGAGCAGGTCGTCATGTTGTATGGCAGCGGATGAGACAATGTCGTTGTTCTCATCGACGGTCGTCAGAGAAACACTGCCAGGACCGAAGTTCTGCATTGGATAGTTCAGATCCATCCATTCCATCCATGAGTCGTGCCATCTGTTTGTTGTGAAAGGCGGACCTGCACAGACAAGGAGGTCCTGCCCTGCTCCACAACGCCGAGGACGTACAGATACGGCAGCGAGTCTGGCGCTCCTGGAACAACGGGCTGCATCAGTAACCACACACAGCGCACATGAGCATCAATCAGTATGCACATCAGACACGAGGTCTCACGATGGATGCGGGCGATATCCGGGCAACTCTTGAAGGTGAAGACTGCGCCAGCACAGCAGACGGCAGCAGCACGAGGACAGACGCCAGGAGGCTCAACACATTGCACACAGATGGCACCATCTTTCCTCACAGCACGCGTCTTCTCTTCGCTGGGTGCCACGGGAGCCGAATTGGTTGGTTGGTTGGTTGGTTATTGTGTTTAACGAGACTCGTGTCTGTAACCCCGAGGGGATCCTGTCCAGGTCACGCACTAAACTAGCAGCATGCTCATGCATAGAAGCATGCACACGGCCTGTCTCCCCATCCCACCCACCCACCCACTCGACACGCACGTGCCACCCTATGATGGTCAGAAAATCGCTGTCGACAACGGTTGCAGGTATATGAGAATGACAGCCAGAATTGGGAGTCACAACTGCTTGGGAAAGAGAGAGCGGTTTCCCAATGTGGCCCGAAAGCCTGTGCGCGAAACGGATGTGTGAAAGCTCCTCCCGTCTCGTGTCAAGCACCTTCCACATCTGAGCTCGCAGATCCCAAGGCAGATCTCGAGGCATCCTCAGCCTTGTTTTCTTTTGGCTGAGGATGCCATCGGCTTCCCCTCCTTCTGAGGATCATGTTGGTCCTCGTCCGGTCCTCGTCCGTGCCCATTTGGCTGTGGTTGGCGTCTCCGACCTTTCCTCGTGATGGTGCCCGCCGCAGCTCATCATATCGCTCAGCCTTATTGGCTCTTCCTCTGACGTCCTTCTCGCCCTTCCGGCACGCTCTCTCACATCCGCCCGAGCCTCAATTGGGTCTTCATCGTGAAGATCTGCTTGACGACGCCGTCTCAGCGGACCGACGTGACGAGAACTGCACTTCCTCCTGCCTGGGACATGCGGCTTCCCCCCCGTCCCCGTTCGTCAGAGTGTGCTGAACCGCTGGTGTTGCCATGGTGAAGCTGCAATGATGCTTGCGTAGGGATGGGAGGGCATCTGCTTCATTGCATGGTTCGCTTGTTGCACTGGCACCGTGATCATGATGTGCTCTGTGTGGTGTGGGCGGAGGCGGTCTGTCATGTCTTGTCATTTAGATGGTCTCTGTGTCTGAGGTAGCCTATTGTCGCCGTGCTTCTTGCGTGCGCCCGTCGACTGCCGTCCTGCTGACTCGCCCCCGGGCGGCAACATTTAAAGCGCTGCGGCTGTAGCAGGTGCGTCGGAAGACGGCAACTCACCAAGCGGCATGCAGATCGGTGAGCATCCTCGCACACACGCGAAGACATTCACACATCTCTCTCTCATTCTGATGCTGTGTGTGCATCAGAAACTGCACTCGCATCGGCGTCATCGAGTGCTCAAGACAAGAGCAACCTCGAGACGCTCATGGAAGGCGCCATGCCCGCCGCTGGTATGCGACGCATCACGGCACACAGATCAACACCACACAACTCATTCTCTGCCTGTGTTGTGTGTTCGTCAGAGGTATACGTGAAGTTCGTGGATTTCATGGAGACGGTCAACCCATCGGCTTCTCGCATCCAAGAGTTTGTAGAGGTCTACAAGCTCAACATTGAGAAACAGACGGCCGCGGCTTACCACGCCATCCGCAGCCATTCAGCCACTGTCTTCGACGAGCGCACCTTCAACCGCTTGTGGATCGGTGCCTACCAGTGGGGCGTCGAGCAACCCATCAAGGGCAACTACGCGCGCAACGTGGTGATCCTTGACGAGCGACTCAAGGGCCACGAGCAGTGGGAAGGAAAGGAGGCCTTCTGCCGCTGGTTTGCGGTCCTGCTCGACAACAAGTTCAAGAGCTACAAGAGATATCACTACCAGATGGCCGGCGCCAGCCAGCTCAGGGCGAATCAAGCTTATCCGGCCTATCACGTGCTCGTGTGGGATGGGCTTTCATGCTCACCCTTAGGGCTCTGCCGATCGGCAGCGTACCTCAAGACGGACTGAGGTACAACGCGCACACATACATACACCACCAGCAGCATCACCGCCACACGCACACTGTGATGGCTGCTGTGTGTGTTGGTCAGGTTTGTCAACCGGAGAACAGCTCGTCTTCCACAGCGACGCATTCGTGGTGGACTTCAAGAATGAGATTTTCCACGCCGACTGGGACCCTCTCAGTGCGGCCTACCATCGCACCATCAAGGACTCCAGTACGCACCAATACACAGCACGCGCATACGCACACTGTCATCATTGTCGTGTCCGTCTGCTTGCGCGTGTGTGTGCAGTCTCGCTCTTCAAGAGCCAACACCACATCACGAGCAAGACGCAGCTGACGCTGGCGAGCGAGTACCTCGCTCAGGTGAGCAGCCGCTACCCGGGGCTCATCCCATCCAAGCAGAGGAGCAACAGGTTTGCCGCCTTCACGCCACTGCCCAACGAGTGGATCGAGAAGGAGTTCAAGTCCATCCTTATTAAGCACCCAGATCGTAAGCATCCCACCCACCCACGCACATCTGCATGGATGGATGTACATCAAGTCATTCCTCTTTGGTCTGTATGTGTTTGCAGTGCAAAAGGCCATCCACATTGGGCAGCCTGGCTGTTGGTTCAGAATGGTCAATGAGTTAGATGAGCAGGGGAACAACACGAACGAGGCTCCACCACTCACACAAGGAGCATGAAACAGACACACTCACTGTGTGTGTCTGTTTTAGAGTCAGCCAACATGCCAGTCGAGCATATGGGCGACCTTACAAGCATCCTCGGCAGCCACGTCTACAGCATCACCCTTGACGCCCACAAGAGCATCAACAGCTACGGCGAGCTGCTGCTGCGCAAGCCGACCGATCCCATTCGCGTCGCCTTCGAAGAGAAACACGCCCGGCGCTTCCTGCACGTGCTCAGCAGCATCAGCGTGGGCATGCAGAAAGGTCTGTTTAACAACAACATTAAAAAGCGGATGGTCAACCTCATGAAATCGACCATCGAGAAGCTCGGTAAGGCACTCACACACACACATCCGTGTATGCATGAATCATTCTTCTCGTGCTTTGCCGTATGACTGTTAGAGTCGGGTGCTAACAAGGGCAAGGGCGAGGGCAAGGATTGCAAGGACGGCGGCAACAAGACCACCGACACCAAACAGGCGCAGCGCGAGACCGCCCCACACTCGCTCCAGACGGTGCTGCCTCCCCCCATGCCCAGCCACTTCCCGCCAGGCCCGTTCCGCGGCCGCGGCGGCTTCCGAGCCCGCGGCTACTCATGCAGCCGACCTTACGATGGCGGACGCGGACGCGGTGCAACCCCACGTAGGGCAATCCTTGCATGCACGACAGATTGACGATCACTGATCTATCATTCATCGTTGCGTCTCTATTCAGTGACGACTTCGACGGCTTTCCCCTCAGCTACTAGTTCTCTTCATCGACTCACTAAGCTCATCAACACACCATCCCCCAGGCAAGGACCTAGTCATGGTATGCGTACACACGCGGGAAGAGGGATGCATGAATGCATGTCGCCACATACATACTTGCATACCTATTTGCACACTTGCATACGTCTGCATACATATACGTACATACATACATATACGTACGCATGCGAGGCGACCAGCCTCAGCTGTCTGTGCTTTGAATCGGCGTTTGAATGCCGTCATCGCAGTTACATGTTGATTTTCGTCTTCGTGTGGGTGGGTGGGTCACAAAGAGAGCTCACCACTAACCACATCGATCGATGCTGGCGATTTTTCTTCCAGCCAGCCAGCTAAGCACCAGCAATAGAGCAACTTGTAGCGCTCCATGCATAGCTTCTTGTCACTGAGTAGCGGATGAGTAACCAACAGACACACACACAAGCGTAGACGCGTGTGTGTATGCAATGCGAACTTGCAATGAACGGATCGATCAATCGATGACTGCTTCATGCGCAACCATCAACTTGTCCATCACAAACGACGAACCATTCATCAATCAGCATGCATGTGTCCGACACATACATACACATCAACGTCCCGACACACAGTGAGGGCACGCATACAGACCAATCTGATACGTCTCTCTAAATGTGTCTCTGCTGCTGTCAGGCATTCTGTGAGCGGCCTAGTGGTCTGTGATCATACAGGCCACAAGCGTCGCCACAGCTCGCCCCTCAATAAGCTGGCACGTCCCCGCTGCCAACGAACTTATCCAGTCCGTCTGCGCGGCTGACGATTCGACTTTGGCTTACGAATGGTAGATGGCACGAGGTCCCACGAGTAGAAGTTCCTTTCGTGAGAACTCGACTATTTTATTCACAGGGCTCTGGTAGACATCATCAGCCACTTCCACTTTCGAGCTCTTCGGCAAGAAGAGCACTTCTATCTTCTTAGGTGTCTTCTTCTCAATTGACACCCAGTAACGAAGTCCTTTGCTTAGCAGGTAATACAGATGAAGGACTTGACCCTCTTTCATGTCAGGCCAGGCAGGCACACTGTCTTGCTTTTGGCCCGTCACCGTTTCACGCAATGGAACTGAGTCAGGCACCCAATCCATATGATCCTTCGGCTGCACACCAGCTCTCTTCGCTTTTTCATACTTCTTTGACGCCCTGTTGGCATCAATCGTACGCTTCTTCATTATCAACTCATTGACCAAGTGTGGACAATCGAGTTGTTCCTCTGGAATCCATTCTGCTTGGCTTTCAGGCAACAGATTCCACTTCACGAGGAAATCGAACTTGGCGGTGGGCTCCTTTCCGCGCTTTCGCACATCAAGTATGTACTGCACCTCCCAAGGTTCAGATTCCTCATCCTCAGCAACGATGTTTGTTCGTGGCTCAGGCTTGTCGGTCACTGTCTCTGTTCTAAAGCGACCTGGGCGATCCTTCATCTCAATCAACCAACGACTGCGAAAGGCAGGCGCCAATCGAGTGACATGAACATTCATCGCCCCACGACCTCCGAGCGGCT